CTCTGGACTTAAAGAGTGCCTGTCACCAAATACCAATAAAAGAAAATGAGCGATATTATACAACCTTCGAAGCATGCAATCTTTATCAATTTCGCCGCATACCGTTTAGAGTAACCAACGGCGTCGCTTGTTTTCAGCGCACCATGGATGAGCATGTTTGACGTGAAGGGCTCAAAGGAACCTTTGTGTATGTAGACAATATCACTGTCTGTGGAAAAGAAATCACGGACCACGACATAAATCTGAAAAGGTTCCTGCAGGCGGCTGCCAAATATGGTTTAACACTAAATAACAACAAGTGTGTATTCACCTCCGAATTAGTTCGATTACTAGGTTACGAAATATCCAAAGGATGAGTCAAGCCGGACCCTGAACGCTTCGACGCCCTTCTCAAACTACCGCCTCCCTCGAATATGAAGGCACAACAGAGTTGTAGAATGTTCTCATACTATTCCCAGTGGTTTTCCCATTTTTCGGAAAAGATTCGCCCGCTGATTATTAACAAAATCTTCCCTCTTCCCAGTGAAGTACTCTCCTCTTATGAATCATTGAAATCCGAGCTAATTCAAGCATCACTGGTTGCAGTTGATAAAGACATACCACTAGTGGTCGAGACCGATGCCTCCGACATAGCAATCTCTGTTACACTCAATCAGTGGTAGTCCCGTGGCTTTTTCCACGCATTCTGTCACCCTCAGAGCGAAATCATTCGGCTGTAGAAAAAGAAGCCTATGCAATAATTGAAGCCATTCGAAAGTGGCGACATCACCTACTGGTTGCCCACTTCAAATTGATCAACGCTCCATCGCCTTCATGTACGATATGAAAGTCAGCAGCAAAATCAAGAACAAAATACAACGCTGGCGTACCGAACTTTCTCAATTCTCATACGATGTGATAAACCGTCCAGGTTCGGAGAAACCCTGCAGCCAATGCTTTATCACAAATATTCTGCGCAAGCACTCACTCAGTTGATGAACTGAAGCGCCTTCATGACAGTCTGTGCCACCCCGGTATCACGCGTCTGTATCATTTTGTCCGCACAAAAATTTACCCTTTTCTTTCGATAACATCAAGGTGGTAACTCAACAATGTCCTGTTTGTGCACGCCTTAAACCCAAGTTTCACATACCACGTAACAGTCCCCTTGTTAAGGCTACACAACCTTTTGAACGCCTCAGTGTTGAGTTCAAAGGGCCAATTCCCTCTTCCACTCGAAATCACTACATTTCGACAACTATTGATGAGTATTCCCGTTTTCCGTTTGCCTCTCTCTGTCCCGACATGACTGCTCGCACTATAATTTCTCGTTTAACTGAGTTATTTTCCATATTTGACCTGCCGCACTATTTACACTCTGACCAAGGGGCCTCTTTTATGTCTCAGGAACTGAAGACGTTCCTTCACGACCG